AATCAGTGCTAAAAAGATTGCTTAACCTAAGATGTACTTCAGATACTTTGCTGTGCAGTATAGAACCTGTCCTCCTATGTGCAAATGTTTTCCAAGTCCACAAACAGCCAATATTTAAATAAAATTTTAGGACCCAATCCATCTATAAATTGAAGATTTTTAATGAAAATCGAGGAAGAGATACTATGGCTTACATGCCTAGCATTTAAATCCCAGCCTGTGTTAAGAGGACACTTTAAAAAGTTCATGTAAAGATTCATATTATCTTTTGCTTCTATTTTTCCATGAAGTTTTTGAAGTACTCTTGTACTAACTGGATGTATAAACCTGGAAAAGTTATTCAAGCTCCATAAATTCCATTTTTTGTATTCATAAAATGATGATGGTAAAGTACCTACTATTACCACTTGGAATTGTTCTGAGGATTTAGTTACATAATGGATATAAGTACATATAGTATGAACATTTAAGAAATAAATATTAACTTTTCTTAAGAAAAATATATAATTACATAATCAAATAAAGCCTGGGCAGTTAGAGATCTAAACTCAGACTTTATTTCAGAGTCTAACTTTTGATTCTATGTTTTGTGTCTTTTAAAATACATTATAATTCAGTAAAGCTGTTTTCTTAAGGTGTTTACTGAGAGAGGTAATCATTGTGTGAGTCAAAGATTTTCTTAGGTTTTCTTACTCTTCTCTCTGGAAGAGATGATAAAAATCAATCCCCAGCCCTGATGTGAACATCACACACCCTAACTTGGTTCTAACAAATTGTTTTTAGTCTTTTTCAAGCAATGTCAGCTAAACGTGTCATTTGCTTACCACTTTTTAAATTTTGATTATTTGTCCTAAAAACACGAACATTAGCAAGCCACAAATAGCCATTTTGTAAAAACTGCATAGCTAGACAGATTTGTGATTCTTATTAGGGTAATAATCCATCTGTTATGGAACTGGATCAATTGGTAAATTAAATTGATTAATCTAAAAGGAAGAAGAAGAGGTCATGACTTTTCCCACAGTAAGCATTTCTTCAAATGGTAGTCATCCTAGAAAGATTTGGGAAGACTCAGATATTTGAACCTTCCCAAATTATTCTTTCTCTCTGTGCTCAACTCAGAAAGATCGCCAAATATCTATTAAAAGGAGGGCGAGATGCAGTTTATGCTTTTGGATTCTATAGGGTCTGATTGCTCCTTGAAGTTTCATTTTTCTCACAGGGTTTAATGTTAAAACCTTTTGATGACTACCAGAACATTTCTAATACTTGTTGATGAGTAAACGCATGACCATGTTTGAATTAACTTCTGCATTTAGTTTGCTTTACTGTTATTTTCATCTTGTCTGATCAAAAAAAAAATCTGATGATTCTTCTCTAACAATGTGTGATTGGAATAATAACTTCACATATTGAAGAGTTTTGTGCTGCAGCTGAGAGGCATGTAAATACAAGCTGCTTTTTGCAAGAAGCTTCCAGATTTGCAGTATGATTGCTATGGAAACCACATAATGAAAACCGTATAACCATCTGTGTAGTTTGATGGATTTTACTGCATAGCTGGGCTGTTTTTGTTTACTGTTATTAAAATGTTGAATGGAATATATTAACCCACAAACATAGACTATTTGAGGTATTAATTAGTATTGTATAACGACATTGTGCCTTAACACCAAAATAAAATGTGTTTAATAATAAACCTAAATAAAACAGCATGTGAGTATGTATATTTCTAATATATTGTAAAGGTGATTATTGCCAAGAATTTTGATCATTTGTCCTTACATATTGTTTTAGTGATGTGGAGAGGTTTGCTCTGTTAATAAATGAATATATTAGGATTTATTTTCGTGATCTTTTAATCCATTTGTTCACTCAGTATTTATTGAATATCTCCTTTGTACCAGGTTCTAGTCAAAGTTTAGTCTGAAGGTATTTTTCCCCTTAATATTTAAACACACACACCAGATTTAATTTCTTGTCTATTATATGGAAGGTGTTTGTATTTTAGCCCAAAATAAAATGTTTCAATATTAAGAAAAATTGGTGTATGAAATGCTTTGACCTAAAAATATCAGTGCTAGGTTTGAAATGTAAAAAGAAAGTGTTTTTAATGAGCATCTCATCTTCTAAAATACTGCCTATTAGATAGCATCTTGCATGGATTTCAATTTGGATATTTCACATTAAATATTGATACTTAAGTAAATATTTTTAGTACCATTATTCTGGTAATTTACGAATATATTTCTTAAGGACAAAGCTCTCTGACACCAATATACAATCACCAGCACACACTATAGGCACTTTAATTTTAATAAAATAGTAATAAATTTATAATAATAAATTCTTTTCTAAATACATTGTTAACTTTGCCAAAGAGCAGAGTTTTTCCATTTAATTGTAATTAATTTTTATGATATTTTGATGCTGACTTCGGGTGGTGAGTCTAAATCCCACAGTCTCTTAAGAAAAACCAAGAATAGTGCTTACTATATTGATGTGGTTATGGCTTTTGATTGACTAAGGACAAGTGCCCTTAACTACTTTTTTAATTACCTCTTTATTATTGAGTATATGACCAAATTGGAAGAGGAGTGGGAGCTAAGGAAAGAGAAAGTGTGAAAAATAAGGAAAGCTTTCTCCTTCACCTTTTAGAAAATTAACTAGCTGTAAAATGAGTAGGTTGGACTAAATGACTGTAAATGTTCTTTCTGTCTTTAAAATTTATATGAAAACACCCTATTAACCCATTTTTCATAGCTAGTCTTTGAGGTTTGGCATAATTGTTGTAAAAGAAAAAAGGGACAGGATTTTGTATTAGACTTTTTATTAGGTCTTCTATTTGTTTATTACTATTTGACCGAACCCTAATAAATTGCCAACATTAGGTTCAACAATATGTATAAAGCACCAAATATTTCCAGCTGTTCCTTATATGAGAGCTTTCATTATTTTGTTTGAATTGTGTTAAACAAAAATTCAAACTGATTATATTTGTCTTGTAAGTACAGTAACTGTCAAGCTTGATTTAAATGCTGATTTTGATTAATCACTATTTAAAATTTGCAGGAGCCTCCCAAATTTACACCTGCAGTCTTGACCTCTTTACTTTGTAGTTGCCCCTGGACATTTTCTCTGGGTTGCCCCACCAGCACATTAATTCCTCGTGTCGAAAACACAACTCCTTGTGTTCCCCCGGCAAGACATTATCTTGGCTATTTTCTCAGTTAACTAAGCTCAAACCCTGAGCCATCCTTGTTTGATCTTTTTTTCCCCCTCACTCCTTCACATCCATTGAGGCACAAAACTTATCGATTCTAGTTCCTTTACCTCTCATAACCATCTTCTTTCCATTTCCTCCACCCCTTCAGTTCAGGACTTCCTTCTCCTTTATCTAGAGTGGTTTCTCTCCCTGCCCCTGCTCTAAGCTGAGAGAGGACCATTTCTGAAGCATAGTTTCAGTCCTGCCTGCCCTTTTTCTGCTCAAAAACCTTCTAGGGCTGTTATTGCCCATCAGATAAAAGTCTAAAGTCCATAACAAGATGTTCATGGCCTCTCAACAACTGGTACGGATACTAACCTTATCTTCCATCCTGTTCTTCCCCCACAAGTACCACATTCTTTAGTCAAAATGAATGTGACTGTGCATTGTTCTTTTAAAGTTCATGCCTTTCCCTCTGCCCGGAAATATCCTTCTTTCCGTCTCCCTTTAAGTTTTCTTTATCCCTCAGAGCCCTCATGGTATTCCCCAGTTGCGTGGTTTCTCCTCTGCAATCCTTCAGTTCTTCGTACCTCACTTGTCAGGCTTAGGTCCCTTAGCCCATTTTCCTTTAGATCTTGTCTTCTATCCCATCTAGGCTGTCAGCTTTCTGAAGGCGGAAGCTCCCTATTGCCCTTGCCTCCTTGGTAAATCCCCTGTCTATAACAGATAGTTAAATATTCAATGAAAACTTATCGATTGGTTGATTTAATAGTCATAATGGCTACATTTATATATTTTGCATCTTTTTCTTTAAAGTTTTAGGTTTTTCTTGAAATTGTGATTCATTTTTACCCCAATTTTTCTCTAGCATGCTATTTGTTTGGATGTCCTGCCTTAAGTATTTCTAAATCATATGTAAAGCCTTAGATGGGGAAAGTGGTAATGTAATAAATATATTTTTTTTGGTGTAAAATAATTAGTTTATTGACTCTCTTGAAAACTTTTCTTATTTAATTTTACCATATTTCTTCCCATAACTCGGGGAAGGAATGTGATGGGAGAGTGAGGAAAGAATATAGGTAAAGCACTGACTATATGTAAGATAAAGAACGTGGACTTTTTAATCACAAACCTAAGTGTAAATAATACAATTTTGAAGTTACCTTACCTTTTGAGTCTCAATTTACTTATCTGTAGAAAGAGAGTTTAAAAATTTTATCTATGAAATCTTAACAACTACCATAGTGCATAGCATGTAGTGGGTCCTCAATATAATTTGGGGGGAATTACCTTGAAGGGTGAGGATCCTTCTAATATCCTCCTGTGAAGTTTAAGTGAGAAAACATGAAAGTATCTAGTACTCAGTAAATGATTTATAGATTAACTGTATTTTATATCACACATTTTCTCCTCACTGTATTGATGTTTTAGGGACCATGATTTTACCTGTGATACTCCTGCACACAATATAATATAATATATCAGTATAGTGCTGGGTGTTATTTTACTGGATTTAAAACAAAATATGCAATGCATTAGTGTATATACCAACTTTTAGTAAAAGCTAAGTACTCAAGCCAACTGGTAAGGTTGTTATTTGGAAATAGCTAGTGGTTTATTTTTTCAGTGTTAGATTATTGAAAAAGAAATGTGAATGTTGAGTAGTTTCATTCTTTGGAAAATAATTCTTACGTGTTATAAACTTTTTTTGTTGCTGTTCTTAAAATGGGGCAAGTACTGTATGGTTATCTCTGAGGAAACGCTTCAGTGTGCCATCGATATTGTTTCTTTATAGAGGAGGAAGAGGACAGTGCTTCCGTGAAAACTGAAGAACGGAGGAAGATGAGTCAGGACAGTGTTCATCACACCTCAGGTAATGAATTGCATAGCTTCCTGGCAAAGCTTATTTTGGTTTTGTTCACTTTCATTTTAGCTGCTTTCTTACTGCTCTCAAGACGTTTACACAGCTCCTCTGAGTTGGCTTGTTTGGTCTGGGTATCTTATGGCTGATAAGCTGCTTAGTCCCATTTAGGATGCATGAAAACCACTTGAGAAGGATTTATAAAGTAAGCCAATTTATACAAGGTATTCCTTCCTGAATTACTTTCTAATGACTCAATTAGCTTTCATTTCTGCACAAAGGAGATTTAGTTGCATAAATTAGCTTATCATCATTGAGGAGGTGTCACTGCTAAAGGACAGTTTATAGATACAACATGCAGTTGCTGTCAAACCTATAAGAATGTAATATAGACATCTGTGTACACTTTGTGCTTGAGCAGAACAGACTTCTGCCATTCAGAGACTAACAGGGGACAACAAGTTGCCCAGGGGACTGGCAATGTAGACATCTCTGAAAAGGTCAACTTGACACAGGCTCTGACAATCGACCCACAGCTCTGTCTTCTTTGATAAAAATCAGATAAACTTAAGACTGCTAATTGATCTGCAGCCTGTTTAAATGTTGGCCATGCATATCTTCATTGCATATGATTAACACAGAAAGCAAATGAATTGGGTAAGAAATGCCAGAGTCCAGTGACAGCAGCATAAAAATTAAAAAAGGACACTGGTGGCCTAGAAGGCTAGGAAGGATGTTCCCCTTATCCATTTCCATTTGGCACATGGCCCCAAGTACTAATTATGACTGAGACTGGAAAAATAACCGTACACACTATGTACAAAATCACATGATATGGACAACTTTTCTTGCTTCTTGTTATTTCCAAATAGCTGGTGATAAACCATATCTGTAGTGCAAGCATGAGGTTAGTTTTGATAAACCAGCAATTATTTTACACAGAAAGAAGAGAAGGACTGCCTTCTTATCAGGACTTTACACCTCTTCATAGCCACATGTCAGCTGAGGCAAGGTCTGCCATATCATCTCCGTGTCCTGCAAAGAGCTGGAGTTGGGGTCACCTTCCCCTCTCTGATATGTCCATACATCACTCTTTCAAGCTGTCAGAGGCAGGGTGGACAAGAAATGCGTGTTCAGGAAGTAGCTTTCCAGAGTCCTTCCTACTGTGACATGTGGAAAGGAAACAGAGACCTGATTCTGGACCTGGACAGGAAAGCAGGAGCAGGTTGCTGCAAAAGGTTTTGGTTTGCTTTTTTCAGAAAGGAAGCGAGGACAAAGTCATTAGATCTTAGCACTCCAGTCCTGTGAAATGCAGCTATAAAACACTGAAGCTAAGCGAAACCTTGCAGGTTATGTTCAATGGTAGTCTAAGTATGTATTATGTATCATGAAGCTTCTGCCAAAAGCATGTAGTTTTCTTTTAAATGTCAGTGAAGGTATAAAAAGTAGACACATATCGATATTTTTTCCACAGATACAAATATTTTGGCTTAAAGCAATTATATTCTTCAAAAACTGTTTTAAAGTAACCATCTCCCAAATGTTTGCCTTTGAGGGTAAGGAAAAAAAAATCAGTTTCCCTCAAGGGAATGCAATAAGTAGATCTAGCTTTTCATGCGATAGCTATAAAGCACTACAATAATTCTTATCTTTAGTGACATGAAATTCTTTTCAAGCAGCAGTTTTAATGCTTTTGCATAGCAGTGATCTTTGCTTTCTTCCCTAGGCTGTCAAAGATGTAACACTAGAAGTTTGTTTGCTACGCAGGGCAGTGAGTTGACAAGGGTATTGCTATCTTGCTGAGCATCACATGACATGAACTTCTAACCTTCCTCAAGAATGTATATATTTTCCACATTGACTGATTTTACTAAAAAAAAAAAAAAAAATCACAGAATGTTCTAATTTTAAATATGTAAGCGAAAACAAAATTAATCTTGTGTTTCTTATAAGTTTCTTCATGTTCAAGCTTATATATCTTGTGTGTGTGTATCCCTTTTGATTTTTTTTTTAACATTTTAGAATATGCTTACCTTTCTAAAATAGTTTTTAAACCTCTAACACCCAGGCAGAGTCTTTGTTTTCTTATTATACATTGTCATCATGTTTTTAAAATCTTTTCATTCTTGCAAAAGTATTTCCAATGTTTATGTGTTTAGTTTATACTTCTATAACAATTCTATTAGCTTGCCCTATGACCTTTTTTTGTATGTTTTTAAAAGCAAGAACAAGTACATTGTTTAAATTCTTCACAGGCTGGCTAATTTATTTTTTTCTTTCTTACCTTCTATTTTAATCCTTCATGCCTCTCAGGAGAGGAAACATAATAAGGTGATTTTTTTATTTTTATTTTTTGTAATTTAAAAAATATAGATTCTAATGTGGAATAAGAAAATTAATTCATGTAGTAAAGACAGCTAAACAGACTTTATTTGTATTTCAGAATGTGTGTTTACAACATTATGCTCCATCCTATTTTAAAAAAAAAATACTCATCTTACATGGATTATTTTTCAGTGTATAGGTCAACAGTGTTAACTTTTGCAAACCTACTGTGCATTTGAAGCTATATCTATGCTTAATTTTGTGTGTATGTTTAGCCATACTTAACATTTTAAAATGTAAACCAAATGAGCTTTCTGCTCTCTAAGGAACAAACAATTTCTAATTTTTATGTCCAGATTTCTTATCAAGAATTCACACATTACTTTCCTGAGGAGACTAAGGCTAAAAAACATATACTGCCAGGTTTTCTCCCTAGTTGTGATTTTTCTACTTTATAACTAGTATTGCATGCTGATAAAGAATAATAAATTGTATGCACATGTAATTGTGTGACATAAACAGGTTATTTTTTTAACACGGCTCACATATGGGGCACAGAAATGAGGTTGATCTTTGGGTAACATCATCATCAAGGTTATAGAAAGCACAGTTGAAATGCATCTTTTTTCTAGTATTGCCAAATCACTAGCTCTGTTGCCTATTTATAGCAGTGAGATTTAATGAAATGCTCATGATGCACATCTAAGGAAAGATGCATCTTGCACACAGTGGGGGTCTCTCTTCCCCTCATGTGTTCCTGTAACTCCCATTAGTGTTAATGGGAGTTTCACCAAGTGCATCGAGGGGAAGAGAGACCCCAAAGTGATAAGGATTATGTGTTAGAAATCACCATATAGTTTTCTTTCTCTTCTTCACCCCCCACCCCCCTCCCCCGAGAATCTCTTGAGTGAGAACTATTGTGAGAGAATGTGAAAAAGAGAAGATCAGTCTGGACAGCTGTGGAGCCCACTGGGACGCTGTAGCTAAGCCAAAACTTCTCTAGTTATTAGCCCTGGTTTTATTTCCTCCATCGCTTTGGACCAAGCCTAAGGCTGAGCAGCACGGGGAACAGACAGGAGCCTTGACTGGGGAAACGAGCTATTTAGATCCTTTTGCCTCCTGGCCAGTTACTGTGGGGGACGGCCTTGCATGTGAAATGATGTCATCCTCTCTTTGCTCTAATTCCTTGACTTTTAAGCTGACACTGACGGACTGCATGGGGCGCAACATTTGACCCATTTAGCAGTTGATTTAATCTGACTAGAATGTTTCAACTTCTAAATCTCTATTTGTCGAAATAAGTGGTTTTTTAAAGGAAATCAGTCACTTTATTATTAAGTGATTTTTTTTCCCTACCAAAAAAAAAAAAAAAAGAAAGAAAGAAAGAAAACTGACAATGTTTGGAGTGATCTGGCCTGCCGGAGTGCCCTCTAGTGTCCATTTATGGAGTTTATTTAATATATGTGTGGGGGAAAAAAATGTAATGAAGGGTGACCACAAGCATTGTTCGTTTTTGGTTGGATTACCAGGCTTGTGTACATCCCTGCTGGTATCAGTGATGAGTGCTCAAATGCCAGTGTGCAGAAATCAGTAAGGTGTCTCCCCTGCTCTCTGTCTGTCTCCCTCCTCTTCCTCCTTTCCTCCCCCTCCCATTGTCCCTCTCTCTTTTTTTAATTCCTAGAAAACAAGAGAAAAAATTTTAATAGGGGGATTTTTCTAGGTTCTTATTTTCTAGTTCTTTATTTTCTTACAAGTAAATTGAAAAGTAGCATTCTAATTATCCTAAGTATTGAGACTCCATATTATTCAGATTCTCTTCTTTGGCTTTAAAAAATGTTTTAGATATTAAAGAGAATTTTAAAAATTTCTAACATACCTAACACTTTGTGTAAATCACAAACTATGTGTAATAAGACGGACACCCTAATTACATGCTAATGCGACTAGTTGTGTTGGAATTGCCAAGAAGCCTGCTGTTTGAGAGCCATATAAAAAAACTATGACAACAACCCTGCTCCAGCATGTGTCTCCACAGTTATCTCCTCAGAATTCAAAGATGACATTCCAATGATGGAAGCTGTCAGCATGTATATGCTCTGCCTGGCTAGTGAATACACGGACATCTTATTGATATTACTGGCATTCTTTTTGCGTTAACTCATCAAAACTCAATAATCATGAAATTAAAAACAGGAAACAGTTCTCAGTGTAACAAAAGCATCCAGTGTATTTAACTCTGCATTTCAGTGCTGTGTTTCAGGAGACCCACATTGTATAAGTGACAAAGCATTTATTACCCCGTTTATTGTGGTATTACTGAGCAGAGAGCACTAAATAATCAATCAGTTAATGGTCTGTATGGCAGTTTGAGCACATCACATCCATTGTGCTTATGCTGTTAGAAGGATGAGCTGGTAACTCCAGTATATGTTGCATGTTTATTCAGAGCCTAATGTCCTAAACTGGGCTGTCAAAATCTGTTGAAAAATGCAGCTTCAGCATTGGTAATATCGAAGTTGCTGAAATATTTTAGAGATAACTTTGAGAGGCTTTGGGTATAAATATCCCCAAAGAAAAAAGCTGTAATTAACCTTTATATTATTTCCACTTTATCCTCTTCCTTTAACCAGCTTTAGGTTTTATGATTTTTTTAAAATTTGGTTCTCTTTTTGATTTTACATTTGTACATTAGCTCCTTTATTATTATTTTTATAAAGTGTCCCAAATTCTGTGAGATGGTTATTTCACAATGTGTTTGTCACATCTCATGGATATTGCTCATTGTGAAGTATAGCAGTCTCATCTTCAAAACGTGTCACAAGTGGGCTTAGGTTTGTTATATGAAATAAGTGGGAAGCAACTTTTAGGTGCTGGTTTGATGAGAACATGTTCCAATTATAGGTTTTAGATGAAAGGAAGGGAAAGAAAAAAAGGCATTCAGAATCAGATCTCTTTGAAAATGGTCTTAAATAGATGATAGTAAGAAGTAGGATTCTTGTGTGAATGTAGTAAAATGTTTGTTAAATCAGGACAGAATTTTTTTAGACAATTTGGTGGTCTGAGATGGTCCTTTAATTTATATTGGTTCAATTTTAAATGACGGCTCATTACATGAAAGTTCTAACTCATGCTTTCTCTTTCTTTTTTCCTAGGAGATAAAAGCACTGATTATGCTAATTTTTACCAGGGTTTGTGGGACTGTACAGGAGCTCTTTCTGATGAATTGTCATTTAAGCGGGGTGACGTGATTTATATTCTTAGCAAGGTAAGAAGATACCCCAAAATGACAACTGTAAAAAGGGAATACAAAGCTCAATTTTTATGCATGTGGATTTACAACACTAGGGAAAAATGCCAATTGGAATTCTTCTAGGTCCTTGTTAACAATTGGGAGTTCACAATAATTAATTATTTTGTCAAGTGAAATATAATCACATTTTAAACACAATCAGATAACAGGATTCAACTTAGCAGTGTGTTTACCTATCACTTCAGCCCTTGGCTCACGTCCATCGCTGCTTTCTCCAGAAACAATATACTTATGTGAAAGTTAACATTGTAAGGTATTAGGTTATTTATTATGTTTTTCTTTCCTCTTCCTTTCTATTCTTCAGTGTGCTTATTCTGATTTTGTCTGCTATTCACTACTGGAAACACTGTGTTTATAGAACAAGTTTTTCATCTTTATGTAAATACATTGGGTGTTCCGACAATTTAAAAGAAATGCTTTTCTATTCAGACAGGTTTAGGTAATTTTTTTTTTAAGTTTAACATACTGATTTATAAACATAATGGCAAAGTATATTGCTATGAATTTGTCTTTATATTCATATATATAAATCTTTGTCTCTGCTTCTTAAGATACTGGATTATTCAAAATCTTTCTGTCCTTGATCTAAAAGTCAAGTTTCTTATTGTGATTACACTTCTGATAACATGTGTGAACTTTCTTAATTTTCATGTTTTAATTTCCCCTACTGTAATATGGGGATTTTAAAAAAATCTCCCACTCTCTACTTTATGAGGCTATTTTAGAAACAAATGATGTATGGAAACAATTTAAATATAAGTAGAGAAATTTTAAATAAATCATAAGTCTAGGCGTTTAATGTGGTTTCTTGACTAGAAATATTTTGGACTTTTCTGAGAGATAATATGATTTAGATACAGAAGAGAACTTGGAAATACGGTCACATATTGAATTTTTAGCACTAGATGACTGGTGCATAAAATCATTACACAAAGAATCACAGAATGTTAGAGTGAGGGGGTCTTAGCAATGATCATACATTTTTGGTGTTACGGATAAGGAAACTTGGCTCAAGAAAGTGCCAGAGCCAGCTAGGTGTTTTGACTCTCAGGCCAGTGTTTTTCCCTCTATTTTCTTTTTTGTGCTCTTTCCTTCCCTCTCTCCCTCCTACCTCACCCCTTTCTTCCTTTTTTCATTCCTTTCTTTCTTCCCTCTTTCCTTCCTTCTCTCCTTCTTTCTGTCTAATTTGAAACCATCATAAAGCACATACAATGTGCCAAGACACATTGTACACACCAGGAATCCAAAAAGAATAAGATATAAGCACTTGCAATTTAGTAAATAACATAGAAGACATTGAATTGTATACTTTAGACAGGTATATTTTAAGGCATGTTTATTATACCTCAGTAAAGCTGTTTTTAAAAAGCAATAAAAAAAAAAGATATAAGCACTTGTAGGTTATTGGGGAAAGAAATATTTAGTGAGTAAATACAGCCAGCTGTGATAATTGCTAGTTAAGGTGCCCAGAGCCAATACTTGTCACTTATTTTCCTCAGTCCTCTGCTCATTAGTGTAGGCTTTTTGTTTGTTTGTTTCCAGAAAGATGCTTTCAGTTCATGGAAGCTATAGATAAGCCACATTGCAACTCCTGATTAAACCTGTTATTGAGCATTTAATTGTCCTGAGTTAAGACAACAGCTTTTTAATTATTTAATATAAAAATTAAACTGATTGGTTTCAATTCTTGTCAAGAAACTCTCTTGGAATCATTCTCAAATTTACTTAGCTCACAGTTTCTTTAACCAATTTAGCTGCACTTGTGTATAAAATTAAAGGTTGGCTAGCTTCCACTAGGAATTTCAGATTATGGGGGTAAATGGCATATACCCATTATACTCCTTTTGCAAATATGAAACCCACATGGATCTGTTCTTAAAACCTCCTTTATTAATCAGGTTGTCTTTGTCATTGAAAGCCTAGGTGGAGCCCCAACCTCCAGGATCAGCTGTGAAACAAGCAGCATTCCTGTAGGCATGCCATTTCTGCCATTGACTCAGAAAATCATTTTCTGTTAACATGAAATTAAAAGTATAATCATAGGTGTATGTCATACTTCTAGGATTCTGGGAGAGACGGTTCCTGTTCTCACAAAACTGTGTTGTGGAGATGGTAGTCTTATTTGTGAAGCCTGATCATAGAACTAGGCTTAGAAGTGGTCCCTTGGTGGGATTTGGACATATCCTGGGCCACTGACAGGTATCTTGGCTGTTGGTAATCAGGTTACTTTGGGGTTGAGTATATGTTTATGAAGACTCTTGTTTTCCCACCTTGCTTTGAGCAAGTTTAGATAGGAATCTATGGAGACTTTCTAATAATTTTTATTGGTTTGGCCTTCCAGTTTTATCAAAATTTTGGCAAACACATACCATAAGTTAATACCATAAATTCACTTATTATGTGAATGATGACTGCAATTTTGAATGCTTGGTATTACTATAAATTAAGAACCAAAGTGATTAATAGAAGAGAGCAAAAAAGTGCTAAAAGGCTGTTTCTTGTTCAAGGTAGAGCCAATATTATGTACTGATAGATTTTTTAAAAGTACAATTAGTATAGAAATTGCTAGCATTATTATATGCATAGAAATTTGTTTAATCTTAGAGTTAGATTTAGATTTCTTGGTGATGGCGTGCAATTTTACCATTTTATTTTTTTACACCATCTAGTGGCTCAGAATGAGTGGTGCAGGTAATTGCAGCTAATGTGCACAATCAAAATGGTGTCATAAATTCAACTTTAAATCTAGCTATGGGTTATTACTTTCCTATCTCATGTCAATAAAGTATTAGAATTCATTATGAGAAATTTTGTTTTTCATTCTGAATTAAATGTAAAAATTATATACATAAGGAAGAATACATTTTAAGGAATCTAACATTTGTGGAGACATAGAAAATGTGTACTTTATAAAGAAATTAATGACATGACTTCTAGTAAATAAAATGGCTTAAAAGATTTTAAAGAAATGCAACTTGCTTTTAGTAATTAACTTATTAATAATCTGAAATATTAAATTATCACTTTTTGATTTGACTTATCTTCTAGAAGTTTGTCAGTTCTGAAAACAACCTTTAGAAAAGGCAGCACAAAATAGTATAAGATTCATTCTTTCAATGTAAATGAATATTTAGACAAATCAGGAAATAAAATGACATACATTATAATGAAGAGTATTTTAATTTTGTAAATGTAATGGCAGAAAAACATTTAGCCAGTTTGGAGATTAGGCTGTCTTCATTAAAAATCACTATGAAAATATAGTGTTATTTAAAAATTCAGTCTTATTTTTCTGTTTTGCAAGGAAGCCTTTATTGGGTGTCAGCTGTGCTCTGTCAGCCTAGGGGTGACTTATTTATTTTAGGCCTTTTGTGAGAGTTATAAAATCTCAGCCTTTATTTTTTTTCCATAAAAGTCAAATGTTCCAATAAAGAAGGAAGGGTAGGCAGATACCATGCCCATCCCCCTTCCTTTTTAACATTTTCCAATTAGCAGCTGTCATGTGACCCTTGGCTGAGCTAGCCCCTCCTTCAGAGTGTCTGGCATTTTCTTAGTTTTAACCTTTGAACTTCACTAATAATAAATCTGAATACTGCTTGCCTGAAAAAGTGAGCCAGCAAGTTTTTGCTTTACAGTTCTTTTCATATTGGGTCACTGCTGTTTTTTGTATGTGTTAAAATAAAACGCTTCAATAGTTCAGTGGGCATTTAGAAATCTTTTTTTTCCCTTAAAAAAAAAGGAACACATTTACAGGAATGGATGAAAGTGAAATTTGTGATTTTAATGACAGCTGCACTGTCAGTGAATTAATTCTGAAACAGCAAGGCTTGGTTTCAGATTCATGTGATAGGGGTGAAATCATACTTCAAGTAGAAAAACTTTTAATTAATTTTTTTTTTTTTAAGGAATCAGATTGTTTAAAATCAGGCTAAATCCTTTTACTTGTTTGCATGTCGACTTTATTATCATCTAAAACATTGACAGAATGTTGTAGTTAATAGTATTTTCCTAGAACCATGTTTGTGAAATTTTATAATTTCAATAGCAGGATCCAGATGATATAGCAATAGGCATATTCCATAGCCATGCATACCTCTTTGGTTATCTTGCTGTTCTGGATTTACATCCTGTGTTAGTTTATCTTTCAATCTGTACTCATTGGTAAATTGCTAACCACATTCTTATCCTTACATTTAAAGCAATAAGTCATTTTTAGGGACTTAATAACAGACAAGCTATACTTAAGCAGGAAAGAGGCACACTACTTTGATATTAAGAGAAAAATAAGAGAGTTAAGAATTCTGGAATATTTTATCTAGTCTAATGCATATGTGAGTTTAGTTTTGTGGCCTTCTGAGAAATTTTTTATTAACTCAAAAACAGGACGTGTAAGTTAAGACAGTGGACACTCATATACAATAAAGGACATTTTTTTAGTGTCTATTCGTTGGGGATTCAAGCACTCCCACCCCTTATATCTGTTTAGTCGACTTGTTCCAGTGATGGGTGAATTGTAACTGTCATTGACCATTTGCTTCTCATTATAAGAACGTAAGGATTCACTTACTATGGCTTTTTTGGCTTCAACCCTATGAAAATAAATGGAATGAAAGTCTTGCTTAGCTTTACTGGCAGAGGGAAATACCACATTACCTTTTACCTTTATCTTAGTTTTTCATTTGTGACCATGTGACCCAGTTTGCCACAACTAGCATGGCCTACTGCTGAAGAGTAACAAGGACATCTCAATATGGAACATGCATTGTTGACACTAAGCTGGTTCCAAATTATTATCGTATTTTATAGCCTTTGGGGAAGGAGGGGAATATTTGTATTTGTGATTGCATTTATTGGGGTCTGGTGGCATTTTGTGTCTATGCTGTTAGTATGGACGTTGTGGGCTAGGGTACAGTGGAAGCATTAGCCAGGCTGACCTCCTGATTAGCACCCACCTC